CTTTCCCTCAATGTTCATAACCAGAAAGATCAAAGTTCTTACTTTTTCAACTGAAGACCCAGCCCAAATCCTTCCTTATTTGATGGCTGGAAAACCTCAATTGATGGTTCTGCAAAGAGAAGAGAAAGCTCCTACTACGTATCCATGTCTATCCTCCTGGGAGTCTAAAGCCCCAGTTCAGTGGATTAGCTTCCTCAGAGTCTAAGGGTACTCTAAACAATAATGATGGACAAGGGAAATATCTGAGGCAGAGGGTAGATTCTGGGAACTGTCTGACCAATTTCAAATATCCTCAACTTATACTGGAAGTTGAGGGGAAGGGGAGGAATAAGTAATATCTGGGAACAGAAAGGCCTTTAAGGCATGACTATCAGGCAATAGGGTATGAAGATACCAATGAGAAGAGACTGAAAAGCTCCTACCAATGGCCTACAGATTACACCAACAGGTCTTGTTCCTAGTTTTTCTCTACCTCAGTTAACTTAGGACTTTGGATGAGACCACACACAGAGCACCCACATGCCCAAAGTCACTGCGTTTACCCGGTCCATCAAGGTACTGGGAGAGCGAAAATCGCAGCCTCAACACAATAGGTTCTGTCCGGAGGACCTTCCAGGCTGTAGAAACTTCCTCCTAAAAGAGTAAGGTCAATAGTTTCTAGTTTAGCAAGAGAGGAATGGACTTGAAGTTTTCGCTATATGATACACACATGCACACAGCACTGTCTGCTGATCATCTAGGAAAAACAGGCATGAATAATACGTGCTTCAAATACAGCAGTCAGGAACAAGACTCCAGGCCTACATGGCAAAATCCACAAGCCCAGCTAGACATGTTGTTGGCAGGTACCAGCACCACTTACATCGAGGAAGCTGATGTTGATGTGGAGGTCAATGTCCACGTCATCAATAGTTCCATATTCTCTATAGAGATACAGGCAACCACAAGTGAGACTCATTAAGGGAGAAAAAAGGGAACAGAGACTGAGGTGAAGGGAGAACTGAGCCTGGGGATAAGGGAGAGGGAAGGGTGGAAGGCAGCTCTGTATTTAGGTTCTTAGCTACAGCTAAGATCTGGGCCTTTGTCAGGCCAGAAGCCCTTCTTACCTCAAAGGTGAAACTATCAGCCTAGAGGAGTCTAGGATACAAGGGAACTTCTAAGAAAACTGGCTATACTTTCCTACTTACTCCTGTCAGCCAACCTCAAGTATTCTAAACAACTCCCACCATCATTAAGCTCAAAACCTATCAAGGTCCACAGACCACCCGCACCCCTATCATACCATAAAGAAAAAACCTCTACCCTTTTAACAACTCAGAAAGAAGTGGCTGAGTCCCCTGCCATCCCTGAAGTAGAGTCCCACCTGATGGATACAGAGTTTTCACTGTAGATCTCCTTCACTGCTTCAATGTCTGCATCAAGCTGTGGGTGTCGATATAAGTCAGCTGCACAGCTCCCCTAAGTCAGCAGCAAAAACGGTGGAGGGGAAAGACAGAGGGGAAGAGAGATGAAAAACAGAACATGAAGAAACATCCAGAACAGGGATATCAAACTACAGCAATACATACAAGCAAAAGCTGCTTATGTGAAGGGGCTTTTGGTGGTGGCCATAATTGGGCCACCAGACAAGTCTCACTGACAGACAAGTCTCCCTCCATCACCACTCTAGGAAGTTTTAGTAGACCAACTGCAGGCTTTGCTTAAGGAGTTCACATCCTTAAGCCTCAGCTTCTTCTCTCAACCCTGACCAGGACACTTAGGGATCCCTTCTGTAAGAACTCAGAACAGACTGAAGAGTACAGAATTTAACTCAGATTGGTTCTGTCTAGAGTCCAACATTCCTGCTCAGGATCATGCCCTAGGCAGTGATAGCATTAAACAATCATTGGTAGAATAATCTTTTAAAAATTTGACCCTAATGAATGAAACGACCCCTGCTGGCTAGTGAGGGAATAGCCAGAAAATAATGTTTTACAACTAAGAACATATGGGTCAGTGGTCCCCAACCTTTCTGGCACCATGGACCGGTTTCCTGGAAGACAATTTTTCCACAGACCAAGGTGGCGGGGTGGAGGGTGGGGGTGGGAATGGGGATGGTTCGGGTAGTAATGCGGGCAATGCGGAGTGATGGGGGGCGGCAGATGAAGCTTCCCCGGCCTGCCGCTCACCTCCTGCTGTGCAGCCCGGTTCCTAACAGGCCGCGGACCAGGGACCCCTGATATGGGTAACCTCCATGTACAGAGGGTGTAGTTTACACTGGGAAAGATATGAGTTCCAGGCAAGAGCAAAGATATGAAATCAGCTCTGACAAGACAATCCTCAGATTACACTGACGTTGTATCTTCATCTCTACTCCAAAATAATCTTTCACTCTTGATGTATCCAGAGAAAAGCACACATTTAGACCATCCAACACCGGTTTTGGGGGCTGTAATCTCACCTGAACTCCATAGAGAAATTCCTCTGATTCATTATCTCCTTCCGAATCATCATCATTCCAGAACTGGCCTTTGATGTCCTAACGATGAGAAATAAGGATACAACCCTTTGTTGGGTCCCTGTTATCCCACGGAACACAGTGGGGTTAGGATGGAAAACAGGTTTCCACAAAGAATGGGAGGTCCCTTGGCATAGAATAACTGAGGCCCTAATCCCTTTGCTCCCTTCCCCTCACCCTTTGGGAGCGTCTCACTCTCTTCCTCAATCTGGTCATATCCATGGTCTAGCACTGACTTGGTGTCATGGAGGAAAGCAGTAGGGAATTTTAGCCTTCTTAGGTATGATGATTGAGGCTCTGGTAGCCAGTGGGGGAGGTATGAGGAAGATTTCAATGTCAAGGTTGATTCCTGGGCATATCTAAGTTCTAGTACAAGCTGGCCTCTTCTGGATCATTACCCAAGGTGGCTCTCAAGCATACCTAGCTCTTTTGTCTCATAACTCCTTTTCTAACCCTTATTTAACTCTCCCCTTCCTTCCCAAGAAAACTCCCTATACACACACCAAGTAATACTGTTTCCATGCCCCTTCTCCTTCCTTTAACTTCAAATAGCCACTCTATTTACCAAAAGGGTAGGAGGGAAAACACGGGGAAAATGTGAGGTCTGCACTTTGTTCCATCTACCCCTGGATGATCAGTTGGAGAGTTGGGCAGTCAGTTCTCACCATTGGGTCAGTGGGTCACACACACTCCCAGGTCAGTGCTAGGCAGCACCCCTCCATACCACCAGTTGAACCCAGGCCAACGAGATGGGCATTTAGGAGGCCACAAAGGGAGACAAGGGAGGGAGGGGGAGATGTCAGGGGCTGACTGGAGATCTGCTGAGGAAGGCAGGCTCTACTGTTGTGGTGGTAACAAGTCACTGTCCTGTAGAAAGTAGACAACAATTGATCTCATCACCACTTAATAACTGGGTGGCATATACACAAGCACACATTTATGGGTACATTTTTATTATACATATGTACAGACACTTGCACACAGAGACATACTTGCATGCATGTACACACACTTGTACACACAGTTCTTTAAAAATAATGAACCGTGAAAGCACTATACAAACATAAGACATTATTGTTCTCCAGCTGGAGAGTTGTGACTGAAGCAAGTTCTTGCTCTAGTTCATAATGCTATATCAACCCCTGAAGCCAAAAATGATGACGGCAGGACCAGATGCTTATGCTACTCAGTCTAGTCAGTTCATTTTAGAATATTCTTCATAGCGCCAACCACCATCAGAAGCAGACTCTTTTTCTGGATTCTTTACCTCTAGTTACTTCTCCAAATTGAGTCATTATCTCTTTTAACACCAGTATCCATAAAAGCCTTTATATAACAATCATAGCTACGTTTAAAAGTCCTCAACAACACTGATCATTCTCTGGTAGACACAGTCTGAGTTGTCACAGCCAAAATAATGCCCTGGATTCCTCCTGGAACCTACTCCCCAAATAATGTAATAATGATCCTTAGAAATGCTCAGAAAAATACTAACCCCTACCCCTTTCACAAGATTAAAAACCACTGTCCTAGACCTTCTTGGCTCTGCATTTATCTCAGTTTCATCCACTCCAACCTTACACAGAGGTGTTCTTGGTCTTTAATATGGTTCTATTTAATCTTAGGTTTCTAGATCAGTGGTTCTCGAGTAAGGTCTGTGGATGTGCAGCATCAATATCACCTGGGAACTTGTAAAAAATGTAAAGTCTCAGACCCTCTACTGAGACCTACTAATTAGAAACTCCAGAGGTCTAGTAATCTGTTTTAACAAGCCCTCTAAGTTATTCTGAGAACCACCGTTCTAAATCCTTGCGTGTTCCAAGGGCCTATGGTCTGTTCCTCAGATAACAACTTAAACTTGGTAACTGGCGCAGAATGGAGTTATAAAGCACAATGCCAGGGCAAACAGCACAGCAGTCCTCCAGCTGGCAGTGCTGACTGACCCATCAAAAACAATATGCAGGAAAAAAAAATGCAAAAGGAAACTGCAACTGAAGTTTAGAGGTGAAATGGCCTGATATCTGAGATTTGCTTTAAAATACAACTCCAGCACAAAAAGTGGGGGGGTGGCGGGGGAGATGAAATAAACATGGCAAGATGTTGATTACTGATGAAGCTGAATGGTGAGTACATAACGGTTTCTTACACTCTCTACTTCTGTATATAGCTGGAAATTTTCATAAAAAGAAAAAAAAATCAGAGTCTACTCTTGCAAGGGCTCTCTCTAAAAAGTTAACTCTAAATGTGAACAGGAAGATTATCACTAAGACTCCATAAATGTCTCCTTGCTGTTCTTCAAACATATCAAGCATATTCCCACCACAGAGCCTTTGCCCCTGCTGGCCACCCTTCTTGGAATGCTTTTCAACCAGATACCCACAAGGCTTACTCCTTTACCCTTTCAGATCTCTGCTTGAAGGTCATCTTGACTATCCTATATAAAACAGCAAAACCCCAACACACAACATACTAGCACTCTCCATCCCCCTTCCTTGCTTTTTTTCCACAGCACCTACCACGCTCTGACGTACAAAATGTTTGTTTATTGCATTTATCTCCCACCAGAATGTAAGCTCTATGGTGGTAGAGGCTTTGACTCTTTTGTCTATAATGTCAGCTCCTCAACACACATTTATTGAATGAGTGAATGAATGAATGAACTGTCTGCTGGGGACGTAAGCCAAAGGGGAGAGACATACAAGAACTTAAACACATCTACGTAGACAAAAATCATACAAAAATGATTTTAAAAAGCAAGACTCCATTCACCTTCAAGAGCAGCCGAGAACCAGAATATGAAGATCTGGTGGCTGTGTTTGTGAGATTTGAAAATAAACAGTCAGGTGCTGATCTGGATGATCACAGAGGAATAAAGAGGGAGGCACCAATGTCCAGCCTGGGCTGTCTTGGGTTGGGTGGTAGGATGATGACAGCGTAGGCCAGAAGTACCAACTTTCACAAGCTCTCTGTCACTGTGGAAGTCAAGAAAACTTAGTCTCTCTCCAAGGGCTGTTGCTGCTTGGTTTCTGTTGTTATCACAAGGAGAAAAAGGTATTTCAGAGGAAATTTTTCCTCTGACAATTCAGAAACTACCACCTTTTTCAAACCAGTCTGTTTCAGTGAAAAGGACTCCCACCTTCTAATCTCAAGGCTCATTTCTCTGGAGAGATGGAGAATGGGTTTAAATAGTGATGAGTGGGAAAAGGGGAATGGTGGGTAGTTATGGAATTCATGGAATCACAGACATTTAAAAGAGGAATAAGCCTGAAAGATGCTCTATTTCAAAGCTTTCATGTTATGTATAGAATAATCAGGTGTAGGGAGGTCAAGCTACTTGCTTAGGGTCAGGAGTAAAGTGGAATTGGGACTTTACGCACATCTGACAGGTTCTAATTAGAGCCACTCCTCCTGTGATTTGGTTACAACCACTTAAGAGAGTTGGTAATGAATTAAGCAAGAGAGACCTATCTAACTTATCCAAATGAGGTAAAGCAGGAAACCTTTCAAGAAAGGCCAGGCCAAATACAGACTGTGAAGAATGCCCAGAGAAGGGTGTCTGCTCTTCAGTGCTTTGAATGATGGCAGCTAAGGGAGAATTTGCACGAGGACAGGCCAAATGTAAATAAGCCTCAAGTCCGGATGACAAAGGTCCTGGCCTAGGCCCAAGGGCGCTTCTCCGGTGTGACAACTTTACATCTAGTCAAAGCCTCCGATCTCAACGTTTATACTCTGGGTTTGACTCCCAGCTTTGTGGTACTGGGCAAGCAGGTTACTCCGCTCTACAGCGAGTGCTCCTCTCAGAAAGCCTAGGCCACGGAACAAAGAGTGCGGGGGAGAAGCCACAGACCTGCGATTCCCGCTATCCAGGGTACCCGGCGGAGGCAGAGGCCGGCGTGAGCCCCTTGAACACTGGCTGCCACCGCGCTCTCAGGACAAGCCCTGAGGCCTCCTTCGGAGGAGCAATTAAAAGCTCTTCTCCGGTTTCCTCCGGAGACCCCAAAGACACCCAACACCTGCCTCCCGGGGAAGAAGCTCTGTGCCCGATCTGTGTCGCCAGCAGCCCAGCCTTCAGCGAAGCCTGTCAAGGCCAGGAGGGCCCCTCAGAGCCACCCGGCGCAAGCCCCTTACTTTATCCACCCCGGCCGAGGCGGGGCGGGCCCCGCACCCTTCCCGCGGCCCGGCCGCCCCGCCCCGTCCCGTCCCCGTGGCGGCCGCCTCACAGGCTGGCCTCGTGAGTACTCACGGCGACCCCGGGCCGCGCGCGGCCGCCGCCGAGGGAACTAGCGGCCCGGGACGCCCCGCGGGGGCGGAGCGGCAAGCCAAGGGGCGGGGGCCGGGCCGGGCGGACGAGGTCGCGCAACTCCACGCCTCGTCGTTCCGTCACGGCCGCGCTGAGCCACTCTGCGCACGCTCGCGCGACGGCACCCTGACCACGTGGCGCGCTTCGGACCAACTGCCACGCGACCTGCCCCTGGGACCACCACCTCCCCGGACGCCTGGTTGGGGCGCCTGCGCAGTGATCGCTAGTTGGGAGCGGGGTACGGAGCAGAGGGTGGCGCCTGCGCCGTGGAGCTGGGCGGGTGCGTGGAGAAACAAGAGAGGCCCGGCGGGTGCACGGAGGGCGCTCTGAGCAAAGCTGTTGGCGTTTGGCGCCCCTTGTGGTTAGGAGGAAGGAGAGGGGAAGGCAGTTCCGGCTACCTCTCTACTTTAGAACCCGGGTGGCGGATAAAGGTTGAGACGGTCCCCCTGAGACCCTGCTGACTCCAAGAATCTCTAGTTTGTAACACCTTAGGGTCTTTTAATTCTTCTTTTTAATTTTTTTTCTTTTTTGGCGGCACCGCGCAGCATGTGGTATCTTAGTTCCCCTACCAGGGATTGAACCTGAGCCCCCTGCACTGGGAGCACAGAGTCTTAACCATCGGACCGACAGGGAAGTTCCAGCGTTTTTTAATTCTTAAGTTTAACTCTTTTGCTCCCCTGGTAGCTGTGGAGTGCTGGAAAGCACTCTGGCCTTCTATTGGGACAATCTGGGTTCAAAGCTTGGTTTCAGCACTTACTGATTGTTCAGCCTTAAGCCAAGACCTTCACTTTCTGAGTCTTAGTTTTCTCATCTGTAAAGTGGGGACAGTGATATCTGTTTAATGGGGCTGTTGTGGTGAGGATGAGATGGTATGTCGAACCGTATGAATGTGCAGGTATTTGACTCTTTGTATTTTACAAAACAAATTTCATATGGTTCAACCTAACACATATAAAGTAACCAGCAGAATACCTGGGATTAGGAAGTCATCCATAAATGGAAGCTGTTAACCGTGGTCATTATGGTTATTCCCCTGAGACGTGGCCAGACCTCCCTTCATCCTTATCAGAATTGGGTGTCTTGGAGCTCTCATGTGCCCCTCCTTTCCATCAGCACTAATGGGGAAAAATTTATCTTATATCTACTTACCTTCCTCATTCCCTCTTTTTAGCTAAACACAGCGTACACAAGGAAGGCTTTGGCTCTGAGTGATGTAAACACGTGACATATCTATCCCTCTGGAGCTGGCCTCAGTCAGAATTTTTGCAGTGAGGGACTTCCCTGGTGGCACAGTGGATAAGACTCCGTACTCCCAACGCAGGGGGCCTGGGTTCAATCCCTGGTCAGGGAACTAGATACCACATTCATGCCACAACTAAGAGTTCACATGCCACAACTAAGGAGCCCATGTGCCACAACTAAGGAGCCCACATGCTGTAACTAAGGAGCCCACCTGCCACAATTAAGACCCGGCACAACCAAATAAATAAGTATATATATATATATATGTATATATATATATATATATATATATATAATTTCGCAGTGATTTTTTTTACATTTGGATAACCTCAGCATCTCCCTTCTCACTCTCCCTTTTGATATCCCTGCTCTTCTCACCTGGCCTCTGAGCCGGGGCTTCAACACTGTCTTAATATTAGTTTGTTACACCCATTGTGTATAATAACTGAAAAAAGTGAGGTATATAAAATAACAGGACTTGGAGCCTTAGTGGCAGAATGTAGAAGTTCAGAGTCCTTGGGGAAGGAGTTGGCTCTGCTCCCTCAAACAACTCACCAGCAAGGGCCCCATAGCAGCTTTGGAGAGCCAAGCATGTGTGGAAGTATTCGAACAGAAGCACTTTGGGTAAGCACGGGAGGTCTGTCCCCATGAGTGAAATGTCAAAGTCCAGTATTCCATAACCTTCCAGGATTTCCCCTCCTCACCTCCCCCCAACTCACACCACCAGCTCTTCTACTCATTATGAATCCCATGAATCTCAACTGCCTCATAGTTGATCAGTATGTTCCTGGCTTCACTTTTTCCATCCGGTCTAGATCCTATGGTCAGTTACTTTCACCACATTTTTGCTAATATGCTTGCCCTTAAAATCATAACCACAGATATTCCAGCCATCTACCTTCTCTATTCTCCTATCCTAAACCAGGATAAAGGAAATCACCCAGTCCTGCAGAATTGAGCTTGTGAGTGGACACTGTTTTATGTTAGTCCAGCCCACGAGCCCTATTCTTTGGGAATTAAGTTTTCCACACTCTCTCTCCAGAGCTATAGGCTCCAGGGCCATGTTTGTCTTCTGTGACCCCTGGCATTCTGGCTGCAGTTTATCAAACTGTGAGTGGATTCCTAATCCGAGCTGAGCTAAGCAAATGTTCTCTCCTGGGAATCTTGGATTAGGGCTGAGAGATTATGATTCTAACTGGACTGGTTTCTTGAGCAGAAGAGATATAAACTCAGGAGCTATGGTGCATCCACCTCCCAGATACTATGAGGAATGAGGAATGGAGAAAGTTTATCTGCAGAGAGAGAATGAAGCCTGGACAGGCAGAGACCAGAAATCATGAGACTGCTGTCTGGTTCCTGAAAGTTTCCCAGACCATTTCTGAGGCCCTCTGACCTTAGAATCTATGAGTCACCCTTATCTAGACTAAATCGTTAAGAAAACTTACCCTGGACCCGATATAGAGCTACAACAAATTCACAGTCTCCTCAGCTAGTCCCTGAGTGTACCCAGCAATCCTTCTACACATCAGCTTCCGCCACCATCCCCCCTTCTGCTTCACAGAGAAAATAAAGGCAACGGGGAGGAAACTGCTTTAATGTTCAGCCCCCTCCAAACATTTGAATCTCTCCCTCCCTTTCTTTCTCAGAGGTAGTGAGGTCTCCCTTCAAATCCAAGCTTAATCGTTTCACTGCAATTTGTTTTTCACTCCCTTTGTCTCTTCAGGAAATTTGATCCTTTATTTTCATCTCTCTTTTATGGATAGTCAACTTTTTCCTCTCTCCTACTCTTTGATCTCCGCATATAAACTTGATCAACTAGCCCAACCTAAAAAAAAAATCCAATTTTAATCCCACACATTACTGATTATTACACACTTTTTCTTGCCTTCAACCAAGCTTCTAGGGAGTGGTTTACACTCTCCATCTCTACTTCCTTACCTCCCATGTGTTCCTTAAATCTAGTGCCATCTTACCTCTCCCCCAAATCTCTACTGAAAATACTTTCACCAAAGTAACAGATGACTTCCGAGCTGCCGAACCCACTGGAAAATTCCAGGCTCAACTGATTTGACCATTGATGTCAGTTGGCATCATTGATCAGCAGTCCCTGCATCCCTTTCCTCTGTTGGCTCCTATGGGCTATGTTCTTCCAGTTTCTTCCTAAACCTCCCGTGGCTCCTTCACAACTTCCTTAATAGACTCCTTTTCTGTCATTCATCATTTAAATAATGATAATTTTAAAAAAACAGTTCAGTCAACACCCATTTCTCATTTCATCGCTCTTTCCAGTGACTTCCCAGAATCTGATTCACCTTCCTGTGTTACAAGTCTTGGAGGTAAGCAGAGCCCACCTTCCGTGACAGATACTGAAAAGGTTAGGTCTTTGCTTTCCCAGCTTTCTGGCACCTAAGACAGAGGTATGTGACCTAAGCTTGGCCAAGTAGCCCCCAGAAAAGTAGATTCTGGAGTAAATGATTCAGAGAAATAGAA